TTTCAAATTCTGTAAACTGTTTATGCTTTAAGAAACATATATTCAAAAAGTAACAACGTTATATTTTACATATGATATATAAAAATCATAATATTTAAGATTTTATAGTTACTTATATAAGGATCATTTACTGGTTACATGAAGATCATTTACCGGTTCAACTATAATATTCCATAATAATAATAATAAGCTAAGTATAAAATCCTAATCATTATAATTTTTTATATAATATGTAAAATGTAACATTGTTGCTCTTTGAATATATGTTTTATAAAGCATAAACAGTTTACAGAATTTAAAAATATTAAATACTTCAAGAGAAATAAAAATTTGAATGATATCACTTTTTTATAATAATTTAATAGGAAATAGTGAAATTAGAAGATCTAATTGTAAGTCAGAAAATCACTGGAAAAAAATTCATTAATGAATGTAATTTGCACTATGTTTGTGATTAAACCGATATTAGATACCCTAACCGCCTATAGAAACCTAACCATCTACTTATCCACACCTATCTACCACCTACTGGAATACAAAAAAGAAAGTGCGAAAGACAAAGAGAAAGAAAACCAACAGACAAAGAAGAAAAAAAATAAACCAAATGAATGAAGAAAAGAATAATGGATAAAAAAAGTGGATATGAATATAGTAAGTTAAAAGAATAATTTAAAATTAATTTAATTAAATAAAAATAAAAATAAAATAATAATTTTAAAAAGATAATGTTTTTCAAACAAACAACACACATAAAATGCTAGAACTCGTTGACTACAAAAACTTCTTTACTAAGTCAGAATTAGAAAGAGTAGGAATCCAAGAAAAACAAAATTCATTTATTTTTGAGGCAGATAGAAAAGTTGCAAATTACTTAGGAATGAGCGAAACATATCTTATCGCAATTGTCCACAATGTTTTACAATTTTATGATTATACTCAACACAAGAAAGTTAGAGATCAAACCTTAACTGAAGAGAAAAAATTTCTTTTAGATCCTACTCATATCACTAACATGCAGGTTGATAACATAGATACAGATAACTCACAAATCAGCTGCAGCAAAATTAAATCAGAACCAATCTCTATGGAAATTTCATCTTCACACCCCACTAAAATTTCCCAAGAAAACAACAACAACATAATTGCAGAAGAGGGAAAATCAATAGATAGTTCTAAAAAACAAAATTTAAATCAGATTGACGAGAGTAAAATTAAAATCAAATTAGAATCATATCCTATGGAAGCAATTCCAATAGTTCAAGTTGTTACAACTTCTATACAAACAAACAATATAGAAATAGAACCTCAAGAAAATCCACGCAAAGATATTTGTTTTTTCTCCTGCACAAGGCTTACTGATTCTGATATAAGAGTTATATGTACCTTGTTGCAGTAAAAAAGTTTTGCAAAAGAATGGAAATTATTTATAAGAAAGCGCGTCTATTTCTATTCAATCAACGTGGCTTGTGCTGCAAGGACTAAACGAGATACGAGTGTGGGTACGACATCCTTCTTTAAGCTTTGTACCTTCTATTCCCGAGTTCCTCAAAGGGTACAGTTCCGTTTCCTTGAGGTTTTGGCACTATAATTGTTGTATGAGATTCTGGCGTCAGGTAAGACTATATTTTTTCTAATGCCCTAAGTTAGTTGGATCTCAGTCTTATGATAAGACTGATATCGCTGATTTGATCTTGTGATCTGCTCAGTTATCGAAAGAAATTAATAATCAGTTATTTTTAATGTAAAGTTTCTTTCTTGTACATATTTTACATCACTACTCCGGACACATAATGCTATGCATTAACCTAGTTCATCACAGTCCAAATTGAAGTTAATTCTTATTAATCTCAATTTAGAACTAAAAGTTCTTTGTTTCGTTTGTTATTTTTCGCGTAAAAAATTTGTATAACAAATTTGTTAAATAGTTATAATGAACATTTTTAATGTAATTTTTTTTTCTACTATACACGTTATTGAAAGTTACCAATATAAATTAATATATAAAAATGTTATAACTTTAAACCATTAGTTAATACTGAAATATATCGTTATTTTTTCTGTGAAAGTTAAGGGATATACCTTTTTTTTTTTAAGAAAAAAAAAATATTGTATCTTGAAAATTGTCAAACAATATTTTATCGCGCTAGACATACGATCAGTCGTCATTCAGGCAACGAATTCTGATTAGTACTAATAAACATGGGTGAATTCACTAAGTATAAATAATTTAAATTTTTGTGAACAGTTTCATTTCCTGTTTACGACGCATTATTTCAGAATTAAGCTTCGATAGCTGTATTACAAGGACCAGCTTTAACACTACAAATTGCGTCCATCATGCTAAACTTATGGGCGGAAATCTTCAATTTTTGTGATTAGATAAATTGTATGATGAGATTACATATAATAAACCAATATTATATATGATATAATGTGATTACTAGGATTAAAAGTGATTATTTTAATGAATTGCTTATGAGCTACTTATCAGTTACTTATCAGTTTTTATACGCTGTTCATGAGTAAAGTAACCAAAAACAACCCACATATGGGCGGAATTTTTGATTTTAGTGATTCGAATTTTAATAATCACGACATTACATTAAAAATTTTCGTCCATATGATACTCAACAAAGTCATTAACAATGAACTATTTGTCATCTCTATGAAAAAACATTTGCGCCCATCCTAAATACTCAACAAAGTCATTAACAAAGGACTATTCGTCACCTCTATGAAAAACATTTGTGCCAATACTTTTAGACCTAATCCGATTACCATTATTCCGAAAGATTTGTAGTAATTCATATCCAGGAACACTAATTTTTTAAAAAAAACCATCAGGTGATAATGAGATATGTAAAATAAGGAATACTTTTTTTTTTCCTCTTTGAAGTACCTGCGAGCGCCTCAATGTTTGACGTCAAAACTACGACATTGATCAGCCATGAAAACTCCAATTGATCATAATCCCAAATTACCATTGAGATTATTAGTATTTTCCCAAAGCTGGATATTATTAGGGCCATCGTGATATAATTATACCTTTTAAAGAAAGCTTTTAAATTCAATTCTAATGAATTAAATGAAATTTTGAAAATTTGAAACTTACTTGACTATAGCATATTTATCACTGATGTAAAGAAATACTGCCAGTCTTATACCAAATTGAAAAACGATAAATTCTAGACAAACCAAAGGAAATGAATTAGGAAACTAATCTCCTATGCAAGCTTCGTGTTTTTTTTTTTTCGAATACCTATTACGCATAAAAACAAGATGTACAGATACTGAAGAAATAAAGGTTGCTCGATAAATGGAATGTTCGAAACTGTATAATATTTTTCTAGGCGAAACCATTTGATGTCTTTTTTTTAATTTGTGAAAAATCGGAACAAGAAGTTAAGGCTTAACATATAAATGGTCAGTACCGTAAAAGTGCGAAATAACGTTCAGGGGCGTTAATTTGAAATTTAGATACCCCTAAAATAGTACATGTAGCCTCAAATTAGCGCCCATGGGCGTCCCGAATTAACGCGCATCCTTACAAATAAATATAAAATAAAAATAAAAATAGATAAACAAAATAAATGTGTTCCAGAACTGGGTTTGGTATTAAGTAAACCTATTTTCTAAACTTAATAAAAGTTGGTTTTCAGGTAGAGACGATTCTAATGGTAGTATAATCATCAAAAACAGTTCAATAGTTCACACGCAATGGCTCTTCAAAATTTTTGCATGATCTGCAAACAAACGTCGCAAAAATTTGAAGAGCCATTGCGAGTGAACTACTGGACCGTTTTAATGATTTTACTACCGTTAGAATCGTCTAGATCTGAAGAACAACTTTTATTATTTCCAAAAAATACGGTTACTTAGCCAAACCAGTTCCGGAGCACTTATTATAATTAGGGTGCGAATTCAACCTTTATTTCGAAATAACGCACATACGCGTACTCGAAATAACGCGCAGATCAATTAATTAACGCGCAGGTGGGCGTTATTTCGCGCTTGTACGGTATAAGCGATTCTTTTATTTCTAGGTTTAAAAAGTTTTTTTTTTTTTTAACTGTTAATTGAGGATAAAAGGATACACACATCAAAAAGTATTAGTAATATTCCAAGTTTGAGCACATTTGGCTTATAATGAAAAAAAAGTTATCTTTCAATTCATAACAGGAAATTAACAGTCTAAACTTACATCAATTCCATGATCCCTGTATTCTAATCTATTGAACAATAAATGTCGATAAACTTGTGGTTTATGTAACAGCATATCAATAAAAATTATTATAAAATCATGCTCCACATATTTGTCCGCAAATTTATTACACTTTTCCTATAAAGATTCATAAATAAGGTAAATAAAGTTATATAGGTCAGCTGGAGAACCGTGGCAAAGGTAGGTGTGCAAAACAAAATAATAAAAGTATACAACATGCGTTGAGAATTGCGTAAAAAAAAAAAAAAATTTTTAAAGAAAAAGGAGACTCACACAATGAGTAAGCTTTATAACTCCTTTACTATACTCCGTATATAAATTTGCTACAGGTACTCCACATTCTACACAGATTGGCATTTTCAGAATTACTAAGACTAAACATAACGATAAAATAGAGTTGGCAATTTTCGAAATTTATATTACATAATCACATTATCGTTATCTGTTATGTACAACAGTATATACTGTATATATCAATATCTTTTATTAAATCATCTGATATTTTTTAAATCATGTCTATCCTATTACTTTCATTAATAACGTTAACAATTTTTTTAACGATTTCCACATCATTCTTGGAACTCTCATAATCAACCCAAAATTTTTTTTGTGCAGGAGGTTTAATTCCTTTCTTCTTACAAAAATCCAAGTACTTTTTTTTTACTCTCCATGTAATATAGCTTCGATTCATTGGATTTAAATGCCGTAATTCTACTGTTGTAAGTTTAGGTAATGCGAATAAAGACCTAGTTTCTATTGTCATTTTTGTGTAGGGATTAATTGTTGTTGGTGTGAATGATGTGGGAAGTGTTTTAGGTTGGTGAAGATAAATTTTCGTAACATATCGGGAGAAAAAGTGGTGAACCATGAATGTTGACGTTGCGCTTGCCATGAATGCTTTTTTTTAAAGCAAAGAAAATGTCAAATTATGTAACTGATTTAGAAAAAGTGAACCCATGTAGAAGCTCACCAGCTGCTATTAGATCTTTAGTAATACCGAATGACTTTACTGTTTCATCAATTATCAAATTATTCTGCTATCAGAATTTAATCAGAATTTTAATCCGAATTAAAAAATAAACTATCTTACAAGTAGGATCATCCGAGTAAAAGAGAGAGACCGGTGCGACGGTGCATGCAACCTATTTATTAAACATACAGTATATAGGGCGCTTTTAAGCAGAAAATTGGTCCTTCCCTGAGTAGTTGTCCAACCATTGTTAGTAGTGCATCTCAAGGATAGCTCATGGTCTGCCTCATGATGGACAGAAAATAATTGTGATTATATGGAGAGGCAATTATAACCGAGATTCAGAAATAAGTGATACAAACAAAAAAATCGTAATTTTGAGTTCAAAATTTACGAATAAGTACATGATAATTGTCTTTACAGTGTGACGATTCATGAAGCACTCATGAGTGATCCATGAGATACTCTCACAACTACTCAGGGAAGGACTGAATTTTCTGCTTGAAAGTGCCCATAGATTGTTATTACATAATATTCGATTCGGATTTTGCTCGTCGAATAGTTATGAAATACGAACCCCAAGAAATGATACCGAAATAAACTTTAAAAGTCTGACTAGTCTAAAGTTTGAACTTTCGAATATCAATCTCATGTTATCAGTATTGTCTTCTGCCTCCTCTTTTGTAATTGTATCATTTTTCGTAATTGCTTGTGTAGTGATTTGATTTTTCAGCCTAATTTGTGATAATATTCTACAATTAGCAAATGAATTATGAAATAATAAAATCGTACGACGGGATGAAAAAGTGAATAATCGCATCTTTTTTTTAAAAAAAAAACGAAAAATTTTTGGCGCATATCAAAATTATCGGACCAATAAAAGTCCATGATCAGGCATTATTCACGTGATATGCTTTTTTATTTTACATGTTATTGTATTACTTAATGTATCTAACTTTACATGTTACTTTTTTTTAGAAAGAATATTACTACTAATACAAAAATATAAAATAACCATACAAAAATTTTGCTTTTTTTTCTATTTATTTAATTAAAGATATGTTCATTATTCAAGTCCTTAAATCTGGATGAACAATGAAATCACCCAATCCTTTTCCAGCCGGTACCATAGGATAAACATGTTCGTGTTTCTCTATTATTGCATCACATACAATAGGTCCATCATATTCTAAAAACTCTGCCATTTTATCGGGTAGTTCTTCCTCGGTACGAATCCTAATAGCTTTCGCACCCATAGACTATGAAAAAATAATATAATTGATTAGGAAACATCTTTATTATATAATTTAAAAAAAGAGATATAAATAATAAAATTTTACAAACCTCTGCTAATTTCACAAAATCTGGATTTACCATCTCAGTTTGGCTATATCTCTCTTCATAAAATAAGTCTTGCCATTGTTTGACCATTCCTTGAAAATCATTATTAAGAATCAATACTTTAACCCCAATATTGAATTGAACTGCAGTTGCCAATTCCATTCCAGTCATGCAAAAACTTGCATCTCCATCAATGTCTATAACAATCTTATCAGGACATGCGACCTTTGCGCCAATAGCAGCAGGAAGACCGTAACCCATAGTTCCTAAGCCACCAGAAGTAATCATGGTTCTCGGATATCGCCACCTAAAGAATTGTGCTGCCCACATCTGATGTTGTCCAACGCCTGTGGTCATAAGAACCTTTTCCTTATAATCTTGTGTCTGTCGATCTAGCTCTTCAATAAATTGCTGCGGTTTCAGAGGCGAATCAGGTGATTTTGGCTTGGTATATGTCCAAGGGTATTTCCTTTTCCATTCATCAATAAGTTCAAACCATTCTTTTCGTTCTGACCTTGTTATTAATGGTAAGATCCTACCAAGATTGTCCGATACATCACCTTCAATTGCAGCAGTAGCTTGAACGACTTTATTGATATTTTTGGGACTTATTTCAAAATGAATAATACCACCTCTACCCTCCTTTGCTGCTTGTTTAGCTTCTGGTGCAAAATCTATTTATTTTATTACAAATTAATTTTCTTGTCTAATTAATAAAAAAAAACCAACATATATCTAGTATTGAATATACATACGATCCAGGTGGCCAGTCACACGATCATCAAATCTCGAACCTAGACCAATAATAACGTCTGCATTTTGCATTGCCAAATTAGCGTAGGCTGAACCATGCATACCTAACATATGTAAACTGAGAGGATCCAATTCATCAAATCCGCCAAGACCTTGCAAAGTAGTCGTCACCGGAATGTTACCACAAGCAGCCAATTCTCTCATGCGCGCTGGTCCTTCTGATGTTGCAAGAACACCTTGACCCGCATATATAATTGGTCGTTTAGCATTGTTAATTAATTCAGCAGCATGACGAATAACAGGACTATTTGTTACAGAAGATGCCAAGGCGGGAGCATCACTGAATGCACGAAACGGAAGTGTATATTGAGTTGGAATAGGCTTTTTAAGTATTGAAGCAGTCACATCCTTGGGAAGGTCTACAAGTACTGGACCCGGACGACCGGTAGTGGCGATCTCGAAAGCTTCAGTGATACGACGCGGAAGATCTGCAACATCTTTTACCATTACATTCCACTAATTAAATAGGATAGAAGGTGTGAAATTAGGTTTACGATAATTTTTAAGAAATTAAAAAATCACGTATACAAATATATATATATAATACCTTTGTACATGCACGACTGATACCAACAACATCAGCTTCCTGAAACGCATCAGTTCCAATAGAAGAAGTAGGCACTTGACCACAAAACACAATTAGAGGTGTACCATCTGATAGAGCATCTTGCATGGGTGTTATGGCATTTGTTGCGCCGGGCCCAGAAGTAACAAGTACAATACCAGGTTTACCACTGGCTCTCGCGTAGCCCTGAGCCATATGGCCGGCACCTTGCTCGTGTCTTGGCAAAACGAAATCAAAGTGTTTTGAATTATAGATAGCATCAAATACCGGAAGAATTGCGCCTCCAGGATATCCAAAGACTTTTTTCACCCCATGACGCAACATCATTTCATGGAAAATTTGTCCACCAGTTAGACCTATGAATGAATTATCGTAGGCTGGAGTTGGAGTTGGAGTTGTAGTTGTAGGCGAAGGTGTAGGTTTTGGAGTTTGTGGTAACGGAATCTTCGTTTTACGCGGTTGTGGGGGTGGAGGATATGTCGGTTGAGGTTGAGGGTGGTGAGAAGGACTTTAATTTTAATAAATGAATTATATATTAAGATTCTCTGATAACAGACAAATAAAATGTGTAATTCGATTACGAGAATTTTAATTAAAGGCAATTATCTGAATACTTTACCTTATAGCAGTAGCCTTCCACCGTCGTTGGTAACCATTTGACAAAGTAGTTAACGCGAACGTCGTATTTTTTACATTATATATTCTCGCACATGTTCCTGAATAAGCTGAAGTCGTGCTCCGTATACACGTAGAAAGAACCTGAATTTGATTCATTTTTCCTTCACTAAAGTATAAATTGAATTTAAAAATTAACTTTTGAGCAGTTGTGGGGAGAAGGACAGCGAATTTAATGTCAACCGTAACGTATTTTTTAAACGCCAAAAAAAAAAAAAAAAAAAAAAGTGATTCGTGGCACTGCAGGACAAATAAGCTTTTGGTGTTACGTAAATAAATAATCAATGAATGAGTCATAATTGTACTACTAGAGAAGGTATAATCAATGAATTCCAATGAGTGTAACAATGCAAGGACGGAAAATTATTAACATCTATTCTGTAATACTGTAATAATGATAACAGTAATACAGTGGCATAACCCATTTACTGTTACTATGTAGTAAACGGAAACCGTTTTTTTTTAATTGTGTTAGAGCGAACTCTATTATCTCACTAGCTTAGACCTCTGGGTTTGTTTTAAAGGGAAAATGACAAAAGTGAAAAAAATTACATATAAGGGCTCAAAATTTGAATATTACAGTTAAGGGCCCTGTAACCAATTACTGTAGATTGCAAGTTTTTAACATTTATTTATATGTAAAAATTATAACTGCTTTTGTGATTGCCAAAAGTAATTTACTTTCTCTGAGTACAAATGAGTTTTTGCGATTCTAAATAACTTTGATTTACGCGTAACCTTCACAAAATATGACTCATGTTTCATAACTAATTTTGGTGTAGGACAGACTTAGTTTAAAATCGAAAGAACATCATAATATCGATAAATATTATGTTTAACCACAGTTAGATCGTATCTTGGTTTAAAGGAAGTTTATAAAGTAATGATAATGTTCGAAGAACCACTATCATCATGATGCCTTTATATGTAATTATTTTCACTTGGGCCCTATTTGTATTTATTTTTATTTTTTGGGCCCTTATATGTAAAATTCACCGTTTTAATAACACGGGTAGTGTTGGCACTGGAATTCTAGAACCCCACTGGGCGTCCAGATTTTCCAGAGTTCCAATGGTTCCAGCGAGAAACCCCACTGGAACGTTATCGGATAACATTATCTAGTTATGTCAATAAATGAATTCAATATGCCATGTGCATTACGTATTATGAATGTGAATCGATTTTATTTATCATAGAAAGTCTTGCCACCACCCGGGTGGTGATTTTTTTGCCAACCCAATTCTTATATTGACTTAGGTACCGCGCAAAAAAATGTATTTTATACTGTATCTTAGTACCGTAAAAGTTCATATACAAGATCCTAGACCCATCATGAATTAGACCCGGGTGCGAACCACAGAATCTTTATTAAATAGTTAGAATACCTATTATAAATGCAAAGTGTGTATGCACTTGAAATTTTTTCTTTTCATGATGTAATCTCTGGGAGAGTACTACTACTAAGGAGTTTGAAAATTGGTAGAATGAAACAGACCCGGGTCTTGTATATAAACTTTTACGGCACTATACGTTAATCACGATTATTTGATTTCTAATGCCAATATCCTTAAATCTTATCGTTATTATAAATAAATTCATGATTACTTCATGTCACTACATTATTGGTTCGATTTCTAATGGCTTATTTAATTTAGCAAGGTATTCTTTATATCTATCTTGGTAAGTTAATTCACGGTTACTTAATGCTGTTGTGTTATTTGGTTTATAATCATATAATACTGTAGTAGTAACGTAGTAGTCAATAGTAGTAGGCGTATTGTTAATTAACATAGTAAATATAAAACTATAGTCACTACAAAGCAACTACATAGTTATTTATAGTTACTTTATAAGTTTTTATTCTTTGTTTTTCTTTTTATTTTTTTATTTTTTTTATTTTTATTTTATTTTTTTTGTCTTTTATCTTTTTATTTTTTTCTATTTTACTTTATTTTTTTCTATTTTACTTTATTTTTTTCTATTTTACTTTATTTTTTTCTATTTTACTTTATTTTTTTATTTATTTTTATTTTTTTATTTTTAAGATTAAAGAGGATCTCTTTGGCCTGGGATATTTTTTAGGTGATAGTTACATTGCAATTACAATAAAAGTACAACTAGCTACTGCACTTTTGGCGCTATCTACACTAGGTGTATGTATTTGCAACCCAAACTAGAATTACCTATTTAAACTTTTTGGCTACAACTAATTAGTATACTATCCTTCTAATGTGAACTATCTCTTAAACCATAAATTTTAGCAGACAAATTTGGCTGCTAAAATTTTAAATCTTTAGTGTTTGATCTAATTTTCTCAAAATTTAATATATTTAAAAAAAATTTCATACAATAATATTTGAAAATAAGGATTATAAATAGTAATATTTATTTTTAATTTATAAAAAAAAAAAGTTATATATACTAAA